TTTTTTTTCCTGAGAAAAAAATTCAAATAAAGTCAAGAATTTTGTGTCAAACCTTTTGTATACAGTTATCATTATATTTTAAATGTTTTAACAAAGACAATAAGTATGTTTGATTTGGTTTGCATAATATTTTCAATGGATATTAAATTCCTAAAGGGTTGAGTTACAGATCTGTCCTGTCAAACATCGGGTTGCTAATACCAATTTTAGTGTTGTTTTTGCTGTTTTTCTTATCCAGCTGGGCCAGCGCTGCACTCAGAGGCTCACTGTAGTTTGGTGGCTCTTCTTGTTTACTCCTCTGTAACATATAATTGGAAATTAGACTTTCTATTAATAATTATGAGTCTAAGTGAAGATAGACTTTAAGGTGCAAACTCACATTGTCATCATCACTGCCAATTTCATCCATGTCATAACTGTTCTCAGCTAGGTCAAGCGAGTTGAGGCTTTAGGAGAAAAATGAAGAAAGCAGTTAAGAGGGTGTGGTTTTTAATTATAATTTTTAGTTTTTATTTGAATAACTGTCATGCACGGCTGGAAGCAAAAAGCCAAACATAGTGTCCACATTGGCAGCAGCGTGCACACGGTGACAATATGTTCACATGGAAGCCATCCCAGATTATAATCCAGAGGATAATAAACCAATGAGATAAATTTGTTTTCTTCTTCTTTTACCTGGTTTTGTCCATGTCTGAGCTCTCCTCATTCAAATCCAAGTCCAAGGCTATACTGGTGTCAATGTTGAGGTTCAGCACTGGGTTGGCCCTATGACAGGTTATGACAGGTTATAGTTAACAAAGGAAGACAGAAGATAAAAAATGAAATATATAAACCACACTATAAACATCAATTCTTGAGGATAAAAATGTGTAGCCATTAAAATATTCGCAATTTAATAAACCATTTTAATTTGGAAATATTTGTTGAATAAGGATTAAATCTCAACATAGGCTATTTTATTTTATTTTGGACCCAACACTGTTCTAAAAAACATATTACTATTTAACAAAAGTTTTTAACTCAATCAATCATTTTCTAATTTTTGTCATCTTTTATGTCCATCAGAAAAGGGTAAATCTTATGTAATTATAAAGCTTAAGAAAAAAAAAAACTTTGGTAAGAATTTACAAGTCAGTTTGAAAGAGATTAAGTAGAAAAATATTCTGTGACGGGGAAACAATTTGTACTTCAGAGAGGTTTTAGTCCAGTTAGTTCAGCAAAAGTAGTAATGCTAATGGATCAATATCATTTAAATAAAAAAAAATTTAAAAAATTACATTAGGTTTGTGGTTGAAAAAAATATCTGTGCAAAAAGAACAGAAGTTTGTTTCAAGCCTTAGCTCTTTAAGCAACAGTGCTAAAGTAAAGTCAAAGACAACCTTCAAACTGAGCTTATTATGTCACTTGGTTAGAAAATATTATAAAAACGAAGCAGATAATTTTACAGAAAGAAGAACAAACCAGCAACAGTCATTAGTTTGTCAATCTCTCAAAAGATAATAAGTATCAGTTTAAGCCTAGAAATGTATCATTTTTTTATTCTAGTTAAATTAAAAAAATACATTTTCAAAAAAATTACTCATGCTCTTTT